TTTTTTTTAAAAAAAACATAAGTGCTATGAAAACATAAGTACTATGAAAACGTTGTCAACTGCCTTGACCTAATCAATACCTACACCATTCCTGCAGCTTCAGAGTATGTGGTATGTTCTGCAAGGTGGATTGCCACACGCTGGGCCACATAACAAGTCTTCCTAGATTAAAAAAAATTGAATTAATGCAGGAAACGTACACTGACAAGTATGGAATTAGGTCAGATCCCAACAGCAGGAAGATATCCAGGAAAAGCCCTGTGGTAAACAGAATAATGTATAAATCCCCCACCCCTGGACACGGTGTCCATATCACAATCCCTGGAACCTGTGAATACACGTTAAGTGAAAAGTGGAAGGTAGATTACAGATTGAGTTGAGGCTGCTAATCTGCTGACCTTAGGACAGGGGGACGATCCTGGATTGTCTCAGTGGCCCGGCGTCATCACCAGGGTCCTAAGTGGAAAAAGGAGGCCGAAGAGAAAGAGTGAAGGACTCAGCCAGCCGTTCCTGGCCTTGAGGATGGAGGGAGGAGCCACTGCCCAGGGACATGGGCAGCCTCGAGAAGCCAAAGAAAAGGCGAAAACATGGATTCTCCCCTGGAGCCTCCTGAAAGGAACTCAGCTCCGCAGGCACACTTTGACTTGAGGCCATTGACACCCGCGTTGGCCTTCTGACCTACAGAACTGTACAATGGTGTGGGTTGGTTTAAGCCTCTAAGTGGTCATTTATTACACCAGCAATAGAAAACTAATAAAACCCTTGATTTCAATTCACTGGGGTTGTTGCAGTAATTGGACTTAATTAAAATAAAAATTAAGGAGGTTATAAAATAAAGGGAAAGTCTGTCTTGAAGGAGAGGCCGAATCAGTTTCCTCCCGGGCCTCCCTCCCCCAGCCCTGGATTCGTGTGGACGGCGATGTCCATACTGTTCACAGCTGACTGGACCAGCAGTCCCCATACCCACTGTAGTGGTTTGGATAGTGGCCCCTAAAACGTCATGTGCACTCCGGACCTCAGAATTCATTCCGCCTTATTTGGAAAAAAGGTCTTCGCAGATGTAATCAAGGATCAAGATGAGATCATGACCAAGGCAGGCTCTAAACCCAATGGGAGGGTTGTTACAAAACAAAAGTAGGGACACGGCGACAGACGGAGGCAGAGGTTGGAGGGAAGGATCTGTAAGTATAGGACACTGAGGACTGTGGGCAAAGCTACCAGAGGCCGGGAGGGCGTCCTAGGGTGGACTCTCCCTTGGAGTCTCCCAAAGGAACCAAACCCCTGCCGACACCCTGATCTGGACTTCCGACCTCCAGCGCAGTGAGAGGGTCCACTTCTGTTGTGTTAAGTCACCCGGTTGGTGAGAGTTTGTTGTGGTAGCTCCAGGCCACCAATACCACACCAGACTCAGTGTGTTGGTCCTTTGAGCTATTACAACCAGAAGCAGATGCTCAAAGACTCCAGGGAGCGCCTGGCAAAAGCAGCAGCTGACAGTGGGGGGACACCGGGAATCACACTGGCTTCCTTCTTATGCTCCTCTGCACTCATTCTGGCCCGGTGACACTCCTGAGACATGAGTGGTCTCCCCTCAACCTCCTGGAGGCTGGCCTGGCCTTCTGTCTCAGTCCCCTGCTGGGCATGGGCCCAGGCCCTGAGATGGGCTCTGCCTGGGGCATGACACCTGCTGTGATAAGTACCGTCGAGGCAGGGGCTCGGCGGTGGCTGCAGCCCCTCAGCACCCTGCAGTCACGCAGGCCTCAGGACGTGTCTGTGTGAACTCTGGGCCCACGCACTGGCTCAGCCTGTCCACAGAGAGTGTCCCCGCCCCTGTCCTCCTCTGGTTCCCCAGGCTGGGTGGAGGCCACCGCTCCCAAGAGACCATGTCTAGCTGGCAAGGACTTGCCCAGAGCCCTCTTCTCACTCCCGCCAGGCCGTGTGTCTGGGAGGGATGGAGAGCAGTGCCAGTGAGCTGGGGTGCTGCCCTTGGGTTGGACCGGCCAGCCTGAGTTCCCGGGGGTGCTGCCCACACTCACAGCACCGCCATCGATGGCCGCAGAGCCCAGCGGAGCACAGTCCGGGCTGCCCGAGGAAGGGAGTTCCTGGCACGTCAGTGGGGAGGTAGAGTCCCAGTCTTTGGTCTGGGGTCATCATTTCTGCTGCTTGTCAAGGCAGATGGTGACATGTGCACGGTGGAGAGTGCCCGAAGCATCTGGCCCTAAGAGGAGACGGCTGTTGCCATGAAAATGCAGTTGTTTTCAGGAGTCAGGACCCTCGGGGCCTGGGAGCCATTAGTGAGGGCTCACTCATTTGCTTCTGGTGCTCGGGGGCACAGCCTATGGAGCTGTGTTTGGCCGACGTCACAGCACCGACAGCCTCTTGCCCCCATGTGGCTGCTCGCAGAGGGCTCTACTGCCTGGAGCACCTTGGGCCTGGGTTCCTGGCCATGGACACCTGTTCCTCCTCAGTGGTTTCAGGATTCATAGGACCTCCTTTATGGCCAACAAACATCAGAAGTGGGGAAGTCCCCAGGCACTGTTCTTGGTGCCCAGCAGGTTGGCTGGATAGGTAGGGGGCCCAGTGGCTCTCCCACAGAGTCCAGACTCCCTGAGGTCACCCGCCCAACCACTTTGGTTCATCCGTTGGACCAACCGTTGGACCTGTTCCTCATTGGTGCCCCACAAGCAAATGCTTTCATGCTGCCGACTGCCGGCTCCCTGCTCCTTTTATATATTTCAATATGCAGAGAGAGGTTTTTATCGCCTTAATGGGGTGTCTAAATTGCCTGCTCCACTTCTTCCCACAACAGCCAGCGCTGGAGCTCTGATCCAAACCCGAACAGTGGGATCGTTTGTGCAAATTTTTGGGAGCCGTGCAAGGAAAACATTTCAAATTAGGGAGAACATTCCAGTAATTGGGAGTACTTGGAATCCCCAACCTCACCAGTATAGTCATTCCTAAATGCATTTTAAAAGAGAGGAAAAAATCCTCTGAACATGCCTTGAATTTGTCTAACATAGAATATTCTGCTGAGACACATGGGTGTGTCCCAAATGCTCTGGGAGAAGGGTCTGAAGAGCTCAGAGGTTGGCACCCTCTTTAGCATTGCCAAGCGTGAAATGTGGAAACCGACCACCTCGCACCAAGCTGCGTGAAGTGTGGAAACACTGACAAGGCTCTGGACACAGCACCAGCGTCCTGCCCGGCAAACATGTCACGGCCTTTTCCCACCGGCAAGGTCATCATCAGTGCTGCAAACCAGTATGGTTAACTCTGTGAGACCACCCGGCAGAACGTGAGCTTGCAGAACCACATACCTATAAATGTGACCGAATTGTCCTCACAGCTTAGCGGGTGGCCCCCCGGATACGCTCACGGGGCCCACTCACCTGGAAACATAGATTCTGAGACCCTTGTGTCCATCTTGGAACATGGCAGGGTACCAGTGAACGAGCCAAGTTTGAAAATGGAATTTTAAGGACCAATAAATGAGGGGAGGGATGCCTGCTGTATTTGTCTGCTAGGCCAGCTGTAAAAAAGTACAGGAGGTCTGGAGGCCTTAGCCAGAAAGTCATCTTCTTGTAGTTCTGGTGGAGGCTGGAAGCCCAAGGTCAAGATATCAGCAGGGCTGGCTTTTCTGAGGCTTCTCTCCTTGCTTTGCAGATGGCCGTCTGCTCTCCGTGTCCCCCACGGTCTGTTTTCTGTGCACCCGCATCTCTGGAGTCTCTCTCATGAGGACTCCAGTCCTATGGGATCAGGGCCCATTCTAATGGCCTCCTACAACTTGAATCACCCTGTTTCCAAAGATAGCCTCATGAGGGTTAGGGCTTCACCCTGTGAAATTTAAGGGAGACCCATTTCCACCCATAGCTCGCTCTTCCTACTGGCTTGAATTTCGGTGAAGGTTTCTGCTTTGGTTCGGTCATCGATCCCTAGAAGAGAGCCTTCCATCACTCTGAGACAGGGAGCATAACCAATGACCCTGTTCTGAGGGCCACATGTGTGCCAGCCACGCCACCAGGGCTTTCCCCACCCAACTTTGATCCTGACGGCGCCTTGTGAGAACGGAGGTGAGCTCCTGTTCACAGGTGGTGCAACCGCGGCTCCAGGGAGCAAGGCCATTTCCCTGGGCTTGTCGGCAGGAGACAGACACGTGAGGTGCTCTCACAGTCCTGGAGGTGGTGTCAGGTGACAATGCGGGTGGGCATGCGACGTCCCTGATGCTTTCTGCGGACACCCCAAGGGTCAGTTTGCGTTGGTCACTATCTGTAGAAGACAGCTTGCAACCTTAGTGCAATGGATAGAAAAGTGAGCTTCTGGGTACCTCACATGCGTCCTCCACCCCCGGAGCAGGAATTCCCAACGTGAGCACAAGTTGGTCCTGTTATAGCTGACTGTGCTCCACGGATATGATACTCAGTTGTCTGGATTTGGGGAAATTGGGTTTACATCCAAACGCTGGAAATCGTAGGTGTGAGTGGCTGTGGCCTGCTGCCCACTGGCACAGCGAGGGGGGTTCTGGTGGCGACTTGGATACTTCAGAGAGGAAACCGCTATTGGCCTCATCCTTCGTGTGCCTGAGCGGGCAGGGCTGCCCCCGGAGAGTTAGGGGTGCGACACGGGGATGCCGGCCGCCCGTGGACGCAGCGCCCCCAGTCACCTCACCCGTCCGGTAAGATCTGAGCATATCCCCATGGGTGCTGTGAGGAGAAACGAATCCGTCCAGGCCACAAGAGTTCAGTGCAGTGTTGATACACGGCAAGCCAGTGGTCAACCGGAACGATTGTTTCTCAGATCCCCGCTTTGCCAGCAAAGCCCCAGCTGCTGCTGCTTTATGCACATCCACGGTTTGGCTCTACCGAGTGATCATACTTGGCGGTCCATTCATGAAGTGCCTCTCCGGGCTGGCGCGGAGTTGGCCGGGGCCCTGGGTGGCCTCCTGGAGCTCGCTGCGGAGAGGGAGGCAGATGCAGACACAGGCAGCCTCTGAGATCAGCGTAAGACTGACCTTCCGTGTGGGCACAGGGAACCCTGAGGAAGGAGCTCTCGGGGCCCACGGGTGGCCCCCCAGGGCAAGAGGGGATTCTCCAGGAGGGTGAGGGGCCCGTGAAGCATGAGGCGGAGAGAGGGTTTTGTGCCGAGGGAGCAGCCGGCCAGTAGGAAAGAGCAGACCAGAGCACAGGGTGGGCACTGGGGCCCTGCAGAGGGTGACCACCCGACTAAGGGGCTTCTTTCCTTGGAATGGACGTTGCCTCAGTTTCTTGGGGCTGCCGTACCAAATCACTGCAGATTTGGATGGCTTAAAGCAGCAGACATGTATCCTTCTGCAGTGTGGAGGCCGAAAGGCGGAGATCAACATGCCGGCAGGGTATTTGCTCCGCAGGCTCCAGGGGGTCCCCGCCTTTCCCTGGTTTGTGGTGTTTGCCGGCCTTGCTTGGCCTGTGGCTGCGTGCCCTTTAACCTCTGCATCCGCCATCGCCCCTGTGCATTCTGTCCTCTCTCTCTGTGCCCTCTCCTCTCCTTGTGAGGACACCAGTCACTAGATTTGGGGCCCACCCTCAGCTGGCATAACCTTGTCTTAACTAAATACACCTGCAAAGATCTGTGTCCAAGTAAAGTCACAGTCCAGGGTTCTGGGTGGACTATTCAACCCCATTCAGGAAGTTTGTTAAAAAGAGCAGCCCCGGGGCCCCTGGGTGGCTCCGTCGGTGGAGCGTCCGACTTCAGCTCAGGTCGGGATCTCACAGCTTGTGGGTTCGAGCCCCGCGTCGGGCTCTGTGCTGACAGCTCAGAGCCCGGAGCCTACTTCGGATTCCATGTCTCCCCCTCTCTCTGCCCCAACCCACTCGCATTCTGTCTCTGTCTCTCTCAAAAATAAATAAAAATAAATAAACATTAAAAAAAAAAGAGCAGCCCCCTTTGTCCCAGATGGGTGTGAAGTTGTGGTTCATTCCCCGCGTCATGCCTGTAATGCCCAAAGCAGCACGTGGTACTTACAAAGTCGCACGTGTTTTCTGGAGAAAAGTGCCAAGTAAGGGAATTCTCTCCAGGTTAACCGTCTCACCGGGCAGGGCTCCAGCTGGCCCAGCCCTTAGACTCCCACACCCGCCACTCCTGTGAGTCAGCAAACCTCCTGCTTCCCCCCAGCTGGCAGCCTTCCTCGGGTGTCCCGAGGGGAGCAGGCAGAGCAGCCTCCCCAGGAACATAGCCGGTGCTTTCTCCCCTGGGCAGGGGAGGTGCTGCCCCACGGCTACACTAAGTCCCGAGACCACGGGACCGTCAGTGGCAAGGGAGGTGCTGGCCTCTGGCCTCTGGCCTCAGACAGGTCACAGCCCCTTCAGGATGGAGCGCCCAGCGTCCCTTGCCTTTGTCACCTCAGGGCATTCACCATGACCCCCGACCGCTCGAGTTAGGTGGGAGTCAGCAGGACTCAATTCGCTTGCGTTGGTTGGAACAAACTGGGAACTGCTAAAGCAGAAAAGGGCTTATTGAGAGAACTTGGAGGTATCCCTAAGAGCCTCTGAGCCACGAGAAAAGCCAGAGTGAGCCAGATCTGGATACGAGATCCAGGGACATGCATGCCCACAGGTCCCCCGGCTATATCCCCACCCGCTCCACTTGGCATTTCAGCCACTGGCTTCCTTCACTCTCGCTGCAAATCGGCTTCTCCAAGTCCAGAATCCTCAGGGCAATGACTCATTGGTCTGGTGTCCCCCAGTCATTGGAGACCAACTGGGGACAAGGAATTATCCATGAAAAAGGGGAAGACGGGCAGGCAAACCCTCGGAGGTCTGCTACGTGCCTTGATGACACGATGATCACTTGGCTCCAAGAATGGCATTTGGAAGCCACTAGGCTAATGTTTGTCATTTGGAAATCATTTCCTGTGCAGGGCTGGGCAGGTGCCTCGCCTGGAGCTGAAGTCAGATGCTGGAGCCATTTGGCTGACACCGGGCTGTGTTCGTAAGTGAGAGTGTGACGGCATTGGGTCCGCCAGCTCCTCCTGGGGCCTCAGGGCAACGGTGACCCGGGAGCGAGGGAGTGGAAGCTTGTCTGGACCCCGGAAGCCTGTGTCCTTGGAGGCCCCTTCCACCTGTCTGGCCAGCTTGCTCTAAACCAGCCTGACATGTTTCCCTGCTCCCTGGATTGGGGGTTCTGAGTCCACAAGAGACATGAGTGAAGTGCCAGGCTCTCAGGAAGAATAGTGCATGGACAGCACAAGCTGAGAAGTGCCCTCCAAGGAACGAACAAGAAAACTGGGTGGAAATGGACCCAGAGAACCTCTGGGAAACACCCAGCACCCTCGGCGGGGGCAGGAGCCTCAGACGGCCGCCATCTTAATCCCATCATCTTGAGTGAGTTTCAGAAGAGGATTTGTTGGCTTGAACTGGGGG